ACCCAAAACCCCAAAACCCCAAAACCCCAAAACCCCTAAAACTGATCATAAGATTGAACTCCAATTTCTAAAATTCCATTTTTGTTAAAACATTGTTAAAACTACGTACTAAAGCTTATTTCCAGCAGGAATTATTGATCTATTGGCTCATTCTTTAAGAATTGGTAGACAGCATGCTTAGTAGCTGCAGGAGACCATTGTGCAGCCATGTGTCCAACTCCAATGATGGTAGCGAAAGTCATACCATCGTAGTACTCAACATATCCTCCTACTTTAGAATCGTTTTCAGCAAAGAATGGTGCAGTGTCTCTAACCTTTGGCCATCCATAAGAATGAATCCAATCTCTAGTGAATTGAGTAGGCACAACTCCATCAGCATTTCCAGAGAATTGCAGAACTCTGATATTCTGATCTTTCAAAATTGGATAAATCCAATGAGACTGTTTAGCACCGGTAGTATAGAAAATTCTTTCTCCTCCAACACAAATCTCCCATGGTTGATCAGTTGTAATATGAAGAGCCTCTCTGACATCTTTTCTATTAAGATAATCTGTTGTTCCAGAAGCATAGACACATGGGGGGACATGACCAAGAGCAGTCTTCCCCTTTCCTTCAAAGAAGAATGGGGTATATTCTTGGGCAGTCATCCCTCTCTTATAAGTCTTTACTTTTCCATCAATAATAGTACTTCCGAGTCGATCTTTGCTATCTGACTTGTAGCACTCCCTGTAAACATCATATGGGTTGAGGCTGCTGATAAGCTCTCCAAATTCCTTCTCAAGCTTCTCACATTTCTCTGTGTCTTCCTCACCATCTTCCATGATATCAATATTGGCAAAATCACAGTGATTATCCAAAATATCGTCGAACATTTTTAAGCTGTAAAGATTATGCCAGAAGCCCATTCCTTCAAAAGCACCGTCCATGAAGGTTCTGTTGGCAACTCCGTTTCCTACAATGATACCTTTCAAGTTGTATTTCTTTCCGTGCTCGAGGACTTGCCAGGCAAGATAAGGCACATAAATTCCAGCATAAGACTCACCGGTAATGAATAGGTCATTATCTAAAAATTCGGGGAACTTCTGGTAGAAAGATTCCAAAGCAGCATAGTTTTCCTCAGATGATGCCAGATCATTAGACTCTCCATTATCATCACCCCAGTAGTAAGAGTATCCTACTCCTGCAGGAGACTCAATGTAGAGCATGTTAGCTTCAGTATTCCATGAGTAAGGGTTCTCATAGAAAGTATCTTCTCCGTCAGGCATGGAGTAAGGCCCGTGCTCCTGAACAAATCCGAGCATACTAGAACATCCTGGACCACCATTGAACCAGATCACAAGAGGATCATTAGCAGGGTCATTCTGTGACTCAGCAAAGACATAATGGAGCTTCCTCTGTTTATTTGGGATATCTAAATATCCAGAATAAAAATCGAATTGGTCGAATTTGCCCATATCTGGCACCTCCTTGACAAGATCTTCAGCAGGCTTTGCCATAACAATGGCTAAGCATAATGCAAGAACAAATAATATTTTCATGCTGATAATTTTATTGTGAATTCAATAAATTTATATAGCATTGGGGTTTTGGGGTTTTGGGGTTTTGGGGTTTTGGGGTTTTGGGG